ATGTGGCAGGGCTTGCAAACTATTACAGACTACAAAGGGAAGCACAGCCTTCGAGACAAGTAACACTGAAACATGCATGAGAGCATCAGGTGTTCCGGACGACTGTGTGATCACTCTCTCCGTAGCCGATGTGAGTAAGACCTTAAAACAGGTCAACATTCACAAGGCCGCAGGGCCAGACGGATTACCAGGACTTGTACTCCGAGCATGCGCTGACCAACTGGCAAGTGTCTTCACTGACATTTTCAACCTCTCCCTGTCTGAGTCTGTAATACCAACATGTTTCAAGCAGACCACCATAGTCCCTGTGCCCAAGAACACGAAGGTAACCTGCCTAAATGACTACCGACCCGTAGCACTCACGTCTGTAGCCATGAAGTGCTTTGAAAGGTTGGTCATGGCTCACAACACCATTATCCCAGAAACCCTAGACCCACTCCAATTTGCATACCGCCCCAACAGATCAACAGATGATGCAATCTCTATTGCGCTCCACACTGACCTTTCACACCTGGACAAAAGGAACACCTATGTGAGAATGCTATTCATTAACTACAGCTCAGCGTTCAACACCATAGTGCCCTCAAAGCTCATCAATAAGCTAAGGACCCTGGGACTAAACACCTCCCTCTGCAACTGGATCCTGGACTTCCTGACGGTTCGCCCCCAGGTGGTAAGGGTAGGTAACAACACATCCGCCACGCTGATCCTCAACACGGGGGCCCCTCAGGGGTGCGTGCTCATCCCCTCCTGTACTCCCTTTTCACTCATGACTGCATGGCCATTAAGTTTGCCGATGACACAACAGTGGTAGGCCTGATCACAGACAACAACGAAACAGCATGTAGGGAGGAGGTCAGAGATCTGGCCATGTGGTGCCAGGACAACAACCTCTCCCTCAACGTGATCAAGACAAATGAGATGATTATGGACTACAGGAAAAAGAAGAGGACCGAGCACGCCCCCATTCTCATCGACGGGGCTGTAGTGGAGCAGGTTGAGAGCTTCAAGTTCCTTGGTGTCCACATCACCAACAAACTAACATGGTCCAAGCACACCAAGACAGTCGTGAAGAGGGCACGACAAAACCTATTCCCCCTAAGGAGAGTGAAAAGATTTGGCATGGGTCCTCAGATCCTGAAAAGGTTCTACAGCTGCACCATCGAGAGCATCCTGACTGTTTCATCACTGCCTGGTATGGCAACTGCTCGGCCTCCGACCGCAAGGCACTACAGAGGGTAGTGTGTACGGCCCAGTACATCACTGGGGCCAAGCTTCCTGCCATCCAGGACCTCTATCCAAGGCAGTGTCAGAGGAAGGCCCTAAAAATTGTCAGACTCCAGCCACCCTTGTCATAGACTGTTCTCTCTGCTACCGCACGGCAAGCGGTACCGGAGCGCCAAGTCTAGGTCCAAGAGGCTTCTAAACCGCTTCTACCCCCAAGCCATAAGACTCCTGAACATCTAATCAAATGGCTACGCAGACTATTTGCATTTTAATGTATTTTTTTTGTATTCTTTCTTCAAATTGCATTGTTGGTTAAGGGCTTGTAAGTAAGCATTTCACAGTAAGGTTGTACCTGTTGTATTCGGCGCATGTGACAAATACAATTTGATTAGATTCTTCTAAAATGGATGACGACACAACTGTGGTAGGCCTGATTACGAGACAGCCTTGAGGGAGGAGGTGAGGGCCCAGGCAGAGTGGTACCAGGAAAATAACCTCTCCCTCAATGTTAACAAAACGAAGGAGCTGATCGTGGACTTCAGGAGACAGCAGAGGGAGCACTCCCCGAAACACATCGATGGGGCCGCAGTGGAGAGGTTTAAAAGCTTCAAGTTCCTCTGCGTCCACATCATTGACAACCTGAAATGGTCCATACACACAGACAGTGTGGTGAAGAAGGCACCATTGAGAGCATCCTATCGGGCTTTATCACTGCCTGTTATGGCAACTGCACCACCCGCAACTGCAGGGCTCTGCAGGGGTGGTGCGGTCATCCCAACGCATCACCGGGGGCACACTGCCTGCCCTCCAGGACATCTACAGCACCCGGTGTCACAGGAAGGCCAAGAAGATCATCAAGGACCTCACCCACCCGAGCCACGGCCTGTTCACCCCGCTACCATCTATAAGGCAGAGACCATACAGGTGAATCAAAGCTGGGACAGAGAGACTGAAAAACTGCTTTATCTCCAGGCCAACAGACTGTTAAATAGTCACCATTAGCCGGCCTCCGCCCAGTACACTGCCCTGAACTTAGTCACTGTTACTAGCTGGCTACCACCCGATACTCAACCCTGCACCTTAGAGACTGCTGCTGTATGTACATAGGCATTGACCACTGGTTACTACAATATAATTTTACACACCGTTTTACCCACTTCATATGTATATACTGTATTCTAGTTAAGGCTCATCCTACATAACTACTGCTGTACACACCTTTTCTATTCATATACTGTCCATAATGTCTATACACATATACAGTGCCTTCGGAAAGTATTCAGACCGCTTGACTTCTTTCACATTGTTACGTTACAGCCTTATTCTAAAATGGATTTTATTTTTTTTATCCCTCAGCTATCTACACACAATACCCCATCATGACAAAGCGAAAACAGGTTTGTAGAAATGTTAGCAAATATATATATAAAAAAATACCTTATTTACATAAGTATTCAGCGCCTTTGCTATGAGACTCGAAATTGAGCTCAGGTGCATCCTGTTTCCATTGATCATCCTTTAGATGTTTCTACAACTTGATTGGAGTCCACTTGTGGTAAATTAAATTGATTGGACATGATTTGGAAAGGCACACACCTGTCTACATAAGGTCCCACAGTTGACAGTGCAGGTCAGAGCAAAAACCAAGCCATGAGGTCGAAGGAATTGTCCGTAGAGCTCCGAGACAGGATGGTGTCGAAGCACAGATCTGGGAAAGGGTACCAAAACATTTCTGCAGCATTGAAGGTCCCCAAGAACACAGTGCCCTCCATCATTCTTAAATGGAACATGTTTGGAACCACCAAGACTCTTCCTAGAGCTGGCCACCCGGCCAAACTGAGCAATCGGGGGAGAAGGGCCTTGGTCAGGGAGGTGACCAAGAACCTGGTGGTCACTCTGACAGAGCTCCTCTGTGGAGATGGGAGAACCTTCCAGAAGGACAATCATCTCTGCAGCACTCCACCAATCAGGCCTTTATGGTAGAGTGGCCAGACGGAAGCCACTCCTCAGTAAAAGGCACATGACAGCCCGCTTGGCGTTTGCCAAAAGGCACCTAAAGACTCACAGACCATGAGAAACAAGATTCTCTGGTCTGATGAAACCAAGATTGAACTCTTTGGCCTGAATGCCAAGCTTCACATCTGGAGGAAACCTGGCACCATCCCTACGGTGAAGCATGGTGGTGGCAGCATCTTGCTGTGGGGATGTTATTCAGCGGCAGGGACTGGGAGACTAGTCAGGATCGAGGGAAAGATGAACGGAGCAATAACATTTTATTTGAAACAAGAAGAATATCATAATTTCAGGCAATTTCTTGAGACCAGTGTATCATGAGACATTGCTTGAAATGAGTTGCCAAAATGTTGTAGATTTACCTTTAAACGGTCTCCACAATTTATATAGCCCGCTTTCCAAAATCATTGATAGGGGACTACATTGATCATATAGTCCCCTGTAGCTCAGTTGGTAGAGCATGGCGCTTGCAACGCCAGAGTTGTGGGTTCGTTTCCCACGGGGGGCCAGTATGAAAAATGTATGCACTCACTAACTGTAAGTCGCTCTGGATAAGAGCGTCTGCTAAATGACTAAAATGTAATTCTGACTTACGCCATTTCTCTATTGGAGGTGGTCAGCCGCCATCCGAAAAACGTTCATATCCATCCAATAGGTCATGTATTGCCCTACTCCACAATGCCAAGATGATTTAGCCCCCCCACAAAGCCTCTGACTCAAAACACTGGAGGACAGGATATCAACTTGACCTGGCCAGCATCCTCTGCAGGGCAGCAAGTGCTGATGCTTTTATGGGAGCAAGAGCACAAGCTCACATTGGGGGGTCACCTTTTTGAGAAACCAGTGGGTGTGACAACCCATCCGTAGTTGATGCATCTCTGGCAAAGAATGGACCTTTAAGGGGTGCACTATATAGGGAATAGGGTACAATTTGGGATGTGGCCAAGGTCTTAGGAGACTGATATCCTGCTGTCATGCATAATTACACTGTTGTTGAAATTCTCCTTTTAAATAGGTTACTGCAAAAACAAGTATAGGCTACTGCATGATAAATAAAATGAATATATTGTTATCAATTTGCAACCTAATCTCTAAATTCAATTATTAGCGATACATTGTTTGTTCATTCCACAGCAAATGCCATTCTTTTTTTTACAATACTCTAAAATGAGTTTTGTAAAAAGTATGTTTTCATTTATGGAACTTGGCTTACCTCAAATTGTGCAATATGGCACAAAACTATCGAAAATAAAAGTGGTGGGTGCAAGCAAAATTAATCATTGGTTAATTCAATCTCAGAAGCAAACGTACTAGAAACAAATGTACACAATATGAGACAATTTATTTAACTTCAGTATTACAACATTTTATCCAGGTGCGAAACATCAATTTGGCTATGTGTCTATAATGTTAATAATAGTTTGATGTTAATAGTTACTGTCATGTTTCAAATAAGAATGAAGGTTTCATTTCTCAAACAAGACTTAGACTTGCTTGCCTCTTGCAAACTGTGCTATTATGAACAGGGAAAATGACCATTCAAAACAGAAGACATAATTTCAATGATAAACAATTTTTGCAATTGTCAGTCACTAACCCTAACCCTTTGGATTGTGGAATAGAAATCTTGCTTGATCCGGTTTATTGAAGTTCCCTTCAGAGGACTTTTCTTTCCCCTTCCATCTTCCAGCCAGGTAGTGCTCACTCAGTGAGCTCTTACTCCTAACTGTCCTATGTACAGACGGAACAAAGCCCTCCATCTAGGAGCCGACCCATGGGTCTTGTCTGTGCGTCCGGGAGATGAAGGAGATCTTCCTGGCCATTTCAGAATGGTAGATCCTCTTGCAGTTCTCATAGTTCTCTCGCTGCCTGCGCCGACAGGGCTTCTCGTAGTAGCGCTTTCGTTTCACTGTTTCGATAATTCCATCCACAGACAGCACTCTTAAATGGTGTAAAATGAGAGAGCAGAGAGAAGTGGGTTAGGAGAAGTAGGCCTATACCTGTATACCTTACATGTAAAATATTGTATTATTTCATATGAGGATGTGTTAACCATTATACAGTCTTATTAAAAGGCTTATAATATTATGTCTCTGAGTAGTAGGAAATATTAATCCATCTCCAAATGGCTGTTTTCTAGTCAGCATCATTATGCACTAATAAGACATAAGGGGGTCATCATATGACTTAACTAGTCTTACATTTGCAATGTATCAGAACTTTAAACCTGCAGGCTTTAGGTATAATCAGAATTTCTAATATGCAGTCAGATAAGAGGGAATGGAGAGGCTTAGGGAAAGGTAGGCAACCAAGCAGAAAAGCAGGAGAAACAGCCCATCCCCGATCATAGCAATTTTGGGTGATACTGATTTGGTGAGCGTAAACACTGTAGCAAGCTAAATCTTCAGTTCGCTAATTTGAGAACAGGATCCGGCACCTCTCAGTTTTGGACTGTTTCGTTCCGGAACCCATTTGCCAGGATCCGGTACCTCTCGTGACATGAAAAATAATTGTGACTGTTTGCAATGCAACATTTTAAATAAAAGCAATCAGAGTTATTCAAGTTGCCTCCTCTGTAATTATATTGCCCCCTAATGTGAAAACGTTCCTGTTATTAAAATTGTTTTATTCGTGTTGGGCCGGCATGGGTTTATGTTTGCGCAACATTGTAGTAGGCTGGACAATAGAACGAGTCAAAATTCACCCAAGGCTGAAAAACGACAATAGAACGTTGGCTCAGCTGGTACACAAGCGCAAACCCACAGCAAATGAATTTTAATCGAACGTTCGCAGCGCCTATTTTGACTGGGATTATGCTTAATATTCCATTTAGCCTAAATGGCACCAACAAATGTATACCTTTTCATTTTACCACTCAATCTGTTCTTAGGACGAAACTGAAAAATAACAACTTGTGTAGAAAGTAAACATCCACACCTCGATGGTGTGAGTGCTTATGTCTGCATAACGAGGAAGTAGCAAAAAAAAGTCAGCGCCAGGGTGAAGGCTAGAGTAGAGGCAGTTCGGAGATGAAACAGAGGGGGGTCACATTCAGGAGGTTTCAGACAATCGCGGGGAAGCACAGATTGGAAAGAAAATGGCTCCTGCTGAAAAGTGAAGACTAATATCTGTCTGTAGGCTAACAAATACACTACATAAGCAAAAGTATGTGGACACCTGCTCGTCAAACATCTCATTCCAAAATCATGGGCATTAATATGGAGTTGGTCCCCACCTTTGCTGCTAGAAAAGCCTCCACTCTTCTGGGAATACGTTCCACTAGATGATGGAACATTGCTGCGGGGACTTGCTTCCATTCAGTCACAAGAGCATTAGTGAGGTCGCGGATGGATGTTGGGCGATTAGGTCTGGCTTCGCAGTCGGCGTTCCAATTCATCCCAAAGGTGTTCAATGGGGTTGAGGTCAGGGCTGTGTGTAGGCCAGTCAAGTTCTTCCACACTGATCTCGACAAACCATTACTGTATGGACCTCGCTTTGTGCACAGGGGCATTGTCATGCTGAAACAGGAAAAGGCCTTCCCCAAACTGTTGCCACAAAGTTGGAAGCACAGATTCGTCTAGAATTTCATTGTATGCTGTAGTGTTAAGATTTTCCTTCACTGGAACTAAGGGGCCTAGCCCAAACCCTGAAAAACATCCCCAGATCATTATTCCTCCTCCACCAAACCCAGATTAGTCCGTCGGACTGCCAGATGGTGAAGCGTGATTCATCACTCCAGAGAATGGGTTTCCACTGCTCCAGAGTCCAATGATGGCGAGCTTTACACCACTCCAGCCGACGCTTGGCATTGCGCATGGTGATCTTAGGCTTGTGTGCGGCTGCTCTGCCATGGAAATCCATTTCATGATGCTCCCGGCGAACAGGTCTTGTGCTGACGTTGCTTCCAGAGGCAGTTTGGAACTCCGTAGTGAGTGTTGCAACCGAGATCAGATGATTTTTACGCGCTACGCGCTTCAGCACTCGGTGGTCCCGTTCTGTGAGCTTGTGTGGCCTACCACTTCGTGGCTGAGCCGTTGTTGCTCCTAGACGTTTCCACTTCACAAGAACAACACTAACAGTTGACCGGGGCAGCTCTAGCAGGGCATTAATCTGATGAACTGACTTGTTGGAAAGGTAACATCCTATGATGGTGCCACGTTGAAAGTCACTGAGCTCTTCAGTACGGGCCATTCTACTGCCAATGTTTGTCTATGGCGACTGCATGGCTGTGTGCTCGATTTTATACACCTGTCAGCAACGAGTGTGGCAGAAATAGCTGAATGCACTAATTTGAAGGGGTGTCCACATAGTGTATGTTATCAACTTCCAAATAGGCCTATTGAGTGAAGAGCATTGTTTTTAGAAAGTAAAACAAGAGAGACAGGCTTTTAGCACGAGCACGTCGGCTATCGCCAGTGAGTGAGTTGCGCATCATTGGGCGAGTCAGTGAAACTGGAAAGCTTTTTTAGGACTATAATTTCATCCTCATATTGTACAATGTGTCTCCACATACCTAAAGGATTGATGGATTGAAGACAAGGTCGTTTTTATTGATCTCAGTTTGTCAGTGTCAAAGTAGCCTGTCATTTCGATAATTTGTGAAGTATTAAAAAAGATTCTGCTAAAGTCTAAAATGATATAGAATTGCATGAAATGCGTTTCCAAAAGGCCAACATTTTCCCAGACCCTAGGCTTCAAAAAATAAATCCCCATTTGTGCAACTTTTGCAAGCGCCTCTAATCTACAGCTCTATACCAGCACCCAAAAGGAATGATAATGCATGCAATGCTTATTATAACGGCTGTTTTCTTCTTCTTCATGCATTCCGGTACATTTTTACATTATTATTTTTTTAAACCTCAAAGCCCCCTAGGACACCCCCCTCTCGGATCGCTTTTTGTTCCGGCACCTTTCAATTTACAAATTAAGCACTGGACAGCCCATATTCATCTGTGCTAGCTACTTGTATGACAACTACCAAGAATATGGGTTTACAGGAGACGTTGAATGTGGCGATTCTCCTTTAAACCCAGGAAGCAGTCATTCAACTTGCCATTCACCAGCTTTTCAAGCGGAATAATGTAAAAATACGTTCGGTACATAGCAACGAATGGAGTTTCACTGTTCAGCCGTCGTCATTACTCCCATTACGGCCAGTATGTACCTCAAAAAAAGGTCTAAATAAAAAGTTTACAACCGAAATGCTTGTTTTTGACCAAGTGCGCATGCGCCAAATACAACTATTCTCCACCTCCTGCAATAAAATACACTAAATAAAGCGTATCTAGAAATGTACAATCACTGTAAAGACGTACCGTATTGTATACCTAATTTACTTACATTACATATTATTGCATTCCGTGTAGCGCGGGTGAAAACATTTATATGACGTTCATACACTGTTCTAGGCGATGAAATCAATGACCTTTCCTGCTGTTGGATCCGCCGACCTGTGCGTAGCAGTAATGAGGGATTTTATTGGAGCTGCAGAAGAGGATTTTCACTTAGTCAAAAACAATTCGTTGATTCGGTTGCATGTAACTTTTTATTTAGAGCTGTTTTGGAAGTACATACCGACAATCGCCATATTCAACGTCTACTGTAAACCCAGATTCTGGTTCAACAACAAAAGTGTCTGTCTACACCGGAAGTCATGTCGGAATGACATTGAGCAAGCTAGCTACGTTTGAACGACGATGTTCAAATAATAAGCAGACTCACAATAGCTAGCTATATCAGTAACTTAAAAATACATGTGGAAATACGATACCTGTTTAGAGCCTTGTAAGCTGCATCGACATTGCCCTCTTGGACCATCACCGTCCGGGCAACGAAACGAAGGTGGTTCGCCATGTTGTGACTGATGCAGTCGTCCGGGTGGAAGCGAAACACTAGAAAATCTTATGTTCCGCACTAGTAGGAAATTGTAATCAGAAAATCGCATTCAACACTAGATGGCGCTACATCAACATCCTATCCTGTGATGAAGCTTTCCTTTTATCATGCACTCAACATAAATACATTTTATTAAATTGGACAGAATAAGATTCATATTTCATAATCATGTCAATAAATATTGAATTACTACTAACCAGGTAGCTTTGTTTTATAAAAGCCATATCAATATGTTGGTACTAGTCTTGTTGTTTTTATTCCATTACATTTCTTCCCTGTTTCCACCACAGACAGTCACATTTTCTCAACACAAAATGGCCATATGGAGTGCATAATTAATGTAGCAAAATTCATTACACTCAGCTTCGTTTTAACTCCATCAGTTCAGGTCATCCATTAATAAAAATAAAAATCATGAAAATAATATTTGTATTTTTGTTAAAAAATATATAATTATTGAATTGAATGTTAATCATCACATCATCTAAATTGAAATGGAATTGACCCCTATGAAGACAGAAACACACATTCATACATTGGGAATGACTGTTACCCTCAATTGCTCCTCTGTGATTATGTCCTGTAAAATGAGAATGCATTCAGGGGAAACATGAAAAATCAAGAGATTTGAAAGGATACCGGTCATCATAACAACAGGGACTAGATATCCTCACATTTTTTTCAGAGGACCTTTTCCTCTCCTTTCTCTAACTCAGTCCTCAGCTGGGCCTCTTAGCCTCATAGGTTATGTCCAAATGGCACCCTATTATCTATTTAGTGCACTCCTTTTTAAAAGGGCTCTGGTCAAAAGTAGTGCACTATGTAGGGCATAGGGTTCGATTTCAGACTCAACATATTCTTCAGGGAGAGATAAAAGGGGGTGAGGTGAGCCAACAGTGCGTGCAGGACTGTACATCTCATTCAAATTATGAAGTATGTTATTGAGCTGGGGGGGGGGGGGGGGGCTAGAAATGTTTACCACTAGATTATTTAGCAAACAACATAGATAAATGTTTTGGGTTTAATTGTTTTGGTTGGTAGAATACACAGTATTAGGTTTCCAGGGGTATTAGTTCTGATCCAGACTTGTTGAAATGTTCTTGGCAGGAGGGAGAGGAAGAGAAGAGGAGAGGGAGGGGGATTGTAAGAGGCTGGTAAGAGGCTGTGGAGGAGACGGAACCAGTGGGACAGAATTGGTTGGTAATTACCTCTTGACATTTGGAGAGAGAGGGAGAGAGAGATGGGCGTCTCATAATTACCTCTGGACATTTGGATAGGGATAGAGAGAAAAAGGGGTGAGCGATAGAGGGGGGAGAGAGGGGCTATTTCACTTGCTTTGGCAATGTAAACATATGTTTCTTATGCCAATAAAGCCCTTTGAATTGATATTGAACACCCTCACCCCGTCTCCTCTCTGTTGCTGGGGTCCATTTGACTTTGATCTCTCACTCTGTTAAATATGCAACACCTTTAAAGGTTGACAAATTGTATGGTCGCAAACTCACATGCTCACTTTCCCTTAGATTTCCTTATTACTATATGAAATATAGTATTATATATATTATTTAATCAATTGGTGAATGTAATTAGGCATGATTACAAATATTTATTAATATTTATTTCTATTTAAATCAGTAAAAGGGAGTGAAGGACTTGTACCCCATTGGCCCTATATTGTATGAACTCTTTGGGGAATATTATGTTTTGATTGATTTATTGATATTTTGGCAATATGCAATTTTCTAATGTGCTCATTGATAAGAGCCAGCCCATGATAGGAAATATCCTCATATAGATGATTGCCATGGGTCATTGACTGACATCACCTCACTCCACTTATCTTGGTGTCATCTCATCTCATTGCCCTCTGCACTTCCTTCTCTCCTCTTTCTACAGGAGCTAACCCAACCTATCTGATTTCACATTCCAAAATCTTAATCTTCTTTAGGATGGGTTCCTCTTTAACCTCTTAAACGTAATGGCAAAATTTAGATTTCCACCTAAATAGACATACCCAAAAGTAACTGCTATTCATGTGTAATTACAGGATTCTGACATGACAAAACCTGGTATATTTGGAAATAAGACATCTGGGAGATGAGGAAATGATCAGAAGATCGATAGGAGTTACATAGTTCAGAAAACACAAGATCAAGCACACACAAAATAACAGTTTTTTATTTATTTTGGAAGTCATCTTTCATTGACAAGCTATAAGTGAATTATTGATTCCCAGAGCTGGAAACACATCAGATGGCTTCCACAATATGTGAACAATATCAGGGGAAAAAATGGGATTGATAGACCTAACAACTAGAAATGGGTAGATGTTTTAGTAAGTGGTGTCAGGTGTGATCACGGGACGTTTCCAAGTGTCCCTAAACCTCTCCAAAGTGGCATATGTCTGTAAATTAGATAATTCCAGTGCTATTACATATTTGCAATCCCTAAATGCTATTTGTTCAGTATAAAAACACAATTTCTACAATATCAACCTCACTCAAACATTGTGGTGGTGTTATGGGGTATCCAGGGTACATTCAAGTGTCCTTTCAACCTCTCCAAAGTGTCCGAATGTGGTAACTGCATTGTTTTTGCACACTGGATGTGCCTTAAAATTATTGTTCACTATAAAAACTAAATTTGTACAACACCAACCTCCCTCAAACATTGTGGTGGTGTCGGGGGACATACAGGGGATATCCAAGTGTTTTTTCAACCTCTCCAAAGTGCCTGAACGTTTAGCCTAGGCATATCCAATGTATTGGTCCCACATACAAATGAACTGTTAAAAAAACAATATAAAAAGCAACAGATATACATACAAATATATAAAAATGTCTTATCAAACACAAACTTGGTTACACACGTGTCCTTCACTAAAAAAGGTGCAAAAATAGAAATAAGCTGAACAATTTACAAATGGCATTCGTGTTCATTTTAGATCCCAGGTGTAGATGATTAGATTTCACTTTCACCGTAGCTTGTGCATGTCGTGATAGTCTTTGAAGCAGTCCCTCTCTGCCAGGAAACAAAAAGCGAACTGGCATTTCGGACAGAAAATCTGGCATTTCACCCCCCCCCCCTTTTTGTGAAATGCTTGCAGTTCTTCCTTTTGTCTTTTTGCATGTGTGTTGGATAGTGGCGCTCACCTTGAGTGGGGGGTCTTGTGATGGTTGTGAGGTTGCTTTGGGCCCCCAATTCCGCCATTTCCAACACCAGCTGCTATCGGAAGGCCAAATGGGAGAGGGGTTTGACCTTTTGCTTTGGCCATCTGCTTGTGGAGAATGAAAGCATTTACTGTAGCAATGTCCACAAAGTGGTACAAAAAAAAGTCTTATACCACTTCCTGGTCTTGTGGAGGACCTGGTAGTAGCCTATCAGAACATCAGATAGGTCGAACCCCCCCCCCCATGCTGGCATTGTAGTCCTTCACAGAAACAGGAATGTGGACATTCTTCCTTTTTCACCCTCCATGAGACATGGTTGTTATTGAATGCCTTATGCTGTGTGGTGAGCATGGTTACTTCCCTAGTGTCCTTCCATTTCACAAAAAGTGTTAGTCCTGATACAACGTATGGTCCCCCTCTCCGCTGTCTTTGTCATGTCTTTTACCTTGGTCTTGGGAAAACCGATTCTGTTAGAACAAATTCGATTCCCACGGGGGGCCAGTATGAAAATAAAATGTATGCACTAACTGTAAGTCGCTCTGGATAAGAGCGTCTGCTAAATGACTAAAATGTAAACAAATGGTGCCACAAGCCCCTATTTTCATTTTCAAGAGGTCTATGAAAAGTGGATGTATAACCATCAGATGGGGTGATTGACATAGCAGTGGGGGGTGAAGACCTTGACCGGCGGGGGCGCTTGCTGGGGACGGGTGGCTCCCAAATGTCATCATCCAAATCCTCTGCATCCTCCACTCAGTGGTGAAAAAAATAAAGGGATATATTGTTTTAAGACACACAGAATTACATTTGACAACATTTACAAAACGACATTACTGTAAAGTAAAAACACCAAGCCTAAACTTTATCTGTACAGTGATTCACATAGAAGGTGTGAAGCACACACACTGTAACACTTTGGAGACAAAGGCAGAGGTGAGAACCACAAATAAACAATGGACATGAGAGTTCAGTGGCCTCTCCAAAGTTACAAGGATGAAACTTAGAACAGCAAACAGTGAACTAATATGAAGCAGACAAGAACTACTTTGGAATTATATAACATTGAAATTAGTTGTTACATAGGCCTATGTTAACTAAATCCAAAGCACAAAAAGCAGACAACTTGTAAAAAACGAAATACATAAAGTAAATTAGCAATTTAAATTCATGAAAATATGTTACTTAGAGATCCAATCCTTGTAGAAAGCAATCTTCGTCTAACTACACGTTGTCAAAATCGCTCCCCTGATCCGAGTCCGACCAGTACTTTATTAAAAGTTTCTATGTCGGTATACTTATTCATAGCTGCCTTATTTTTAGCTTCTTGTTCGATATTCTTAGTTACCCCCCTTTGAGAAGCCATCTTTTATGCTAAAGCAATTTAATAAAGCGTTGAAATCTGTTTACAATGTAATGTAGCGTGCTTGGTGCGTCTCTGAGGCAGGTAGCAATAGTTCGCATTACGCATAAAAGGTTCTAGGCCTTGCTTTGTCCACCTAGGTCAACTGCATATCCCTGGAAAATGTATCTCATTGGCTATAAGACTGTCAAGGTGCCATAGTAGCCAATCCCCTGTGTATGGATGCCTTCAGCGCTTAAGCAGGCAACGTCATATTTGTTATGCACAAAGATAGTCACTCCGTGGACATTCGATGTTTCCATTCAGTCATACATCATCAGATAACATTGGCAATAGGCTAGATTTGTTCCTACCAACCTAAGGATTAATGTCATACCACCCATGTAGTTATAGCTCAAACACAGACCAAATCGAAGCTTACCTTGTAAGATGTTCGTGAAAACGTTGCGTAAAATACACATTTTGACTCTCGGGGCTGGTAGTGTCAAGTTGCGTCAATTCAAATCTGGTATAGGAACAAAAAGAGGTCAATACACATCTTCTAAAATAGACTAGTATTTTAATTAATGCAAACACTTGAATGGTAAATACGATGTTCGTATATACGGGCCCACTGAAAAACCACGCAGGGCAGTCAGAGAACTGAGCTTTTGTTATAAGTTCTTTAAATACTCTGACAGAGATAGTTCCCGCTCCCTGCTGGGCCTGTCAGAGTAGAGGCTGGGTGTGGTTTAAACTTACCCAACCTATCGATGGTGCACAGGCTGGTCCCAGCCCCTTGGCGCTTCACTGTTGCCGGGCATTAGTTGTTATCTTTACAACTTGTCTCGAGTCAGCAACCTCAGACATAGTTTGTTCTTCTTTGTAGCAGAACACATGTCCTTGAGCGGTTTAACAAAAGAGGCAGTGTGTGTGAGTCACAAGCCTGTCTCAGCCTACCCCCTAACAGTTCCTCACATTAATCACAGCTTGTTATGTTAAACAATCTATATCAGTACAGCACAAACCTATTATGTTTAATCATTAATGTATTCTTTCTAAGCTAGGCATCACATCTAGTTGTAAGAAAATAGATCCCCACAGTAGTCAATAACAGTAGGTCACAGGCAGACAAATAAGACATCCTCATCATCTGTGGAGTCCCGGCTTTAGGTGTGTATCGACGTATTCCGTGTTTATTTCCTTTATACTTAACAACGCTAACCAGAATGTAGGTAGCAGCCATCTTGAAATAAGGTCATCGGCTCAGCCTGCCTTTATACATTCGTATGCCCATATTTGGTAGTAAGTCACACCAAAGACTTTAAGGCACAGATCAATAGCCAAGATACTCAGCTTTCCGCAGACACCCTGCTTTTGTAGATTGGGGCTACAGTTCTCATACCAGACTGAATTGAATAAAACAATCTAATAGGGTCCCCAAATTACATTTAAAAGGTTAACAAACTTTACGTTTTCAATAGGACCGATGAAACCCCTTTCTTATCCCATCACTCACTTGCCCAAATTCTTGTTCTGAGGTCCACAACCAGATTTACCGCGCTGGCGCCATTCAACTTCAAAGTGCAAGCATACTTTCTTAATTAGGGGTTATGTTCTTGCAGTTTGTTTGGCAATAAAAGCCCACTCGATAGAACTGGCACTATATAAAAGGTTACATTGTAACCTAATAAAAATGTATGTAGCCTAGCTTACAAAACGCAATATTATATACTGTAATAGATATATCTAGGGTCTAGATATCTCAGTAGGCTATTTAACGTGAATATACAGTAAACAATTCTTGATTCTTCCACCAATGCTCGAGAAGAGGAACAGGCACCTGGGTGGAGCGTGCTCTTTGGTTCCATGATGGATTCTTGCTATTCATTACGAATGCTATTTGGCTCTAAACAGAGAGTACACAGAGGCAGAATACCTGACCACTGTGACTGACCCAAATTTAAGGAAAGCTTTGACTATGTACAGACTCAGTGAGCATTGCTATTGAGAAAGGCCGCCGTAGGCAGACCTGGCTCTCAAGAGAAGACAGGCTATGTGCACACTGCCCAGAACCTGCCAAATGTATGACCATATTAGAGACACATATTTCCCTCAGATTTCAGAGATGCACAAAGAATTCGAAAACAAACCCAATTTGGATAAACTCCCTTATCTACTGGGTGAAAAACCACAGTGTGCCATCACAGCAGCAAGATTTGTGACCTGTTGCCACAAGAAAAGGGCATCCAGTGAAGAACAAACACCATTGTAAATACAACCCATATTTATGTTTATTTATTTTCCCATTTGTACTTAAACTATTTGCACATTGTTACAACACTGTATATATACATAATATGACATTTGAAATGTCTTTATTCTTTTGGAATTTCTGAGTGTAATGTTTCCTGTTAATATTGATTGTTTATTTCACTTTTGTTTACTATCTACTTCACTTGCTTTGGCAATGTTAATATACGTTTCCCATGCCAACAAAGCCCTTAAATTGAAATTGAAATTGAAATTGAAAGAGCGAGAGAGAGAGAGGACCAAGTAACGGTACCTAACCTGAGAGACGCAAAGGAAAATCAGAGGAGCGGCATACATTTTATTTTAACAGGGTCAGCAGAGAACTGAATAGTAACATTGTCTATCTTTTTCTATAGTTATCGACTACTATAACAAACAATTACATCGGAAATGGACTGTAAAATTGCAGACTTCTCTGGGATGTGGAAAATAAAGACTTCTGAAAACGTTGGGTGAGTATTTTCATACTATTTGAACATGCACGGAGCCTTTTGGTTATCATAACGAACATTCGAATGTCTTAATGCACCCTATCTATAAATATTTTTGTAGTAGACATGTCTGTAAATGTATCGACACTTTGATGTAGTCTCAGATTATCACAAATTCTACAAATCACTGTTGCACTTATTTATGAAATTGCAATGAGCTTTTCTCAATCTATGGAGCCCAAGCCTTTGTCAGGCATATGTCAAGAATGTGTCAGAAATTTGGCAAAAAGGAGCAAAGGCACGAAATGACCAAAGCAACCTGAGCAGCATCCCACTCTGGGCTATGGGGTGAAATGTTAAACCAGCTTGGTCTGTGGCCACACACACCACTCAAGTGTTCTTCTCCTCTGTGCATGTGTTTGGTTTTATGGGGAATTATGAGCTATCCATAGTATTTATAATAATTTTCTTGCTTTATTTATTGTTTTAAAAGTACTTGGTTATATTTTGAGGCACCCTTCCACCTACACACCCATTCACACACACACACACACACGCACACGCACACACGCACAGAAAGGTCAGAGGAGGGCCAGTCAGTGGCATCCATTAAAATGTATAGACAAATAGCCTGTGGAGGAATGTTATATTTTACCTAGTTTCAAACCAAGTCCTCATGAGATTGAAATTAAAGCCAGTGTAAATGGAACTATGCTCTGAAATGGGCTCTCTCAAATGGCCCCCCTCAGTCAGCGAGTACTGAGACTGACATTACCTCAGTACCCTGGGACTCCTCAACTAACTCGCTCCGGGGGTTTCTCTGTGGGTAACAGCAATATATCCCTCCAAAGAGCAATTTTGCTCCTGGCAAAAATAAACTTTCCAATGAGAAGGTTTGTCTGATTTTTATTCAGGGATAAGAATGTTACTTTATATATCCGAGAGGAATGAAAGTCAGTCTGATATTTCATTCATTCAGTTGAGTAACATCCTGTTATTTGTATGACATCTATGCTAATCATCCCTTGAAGTTGAATGAATGAGAGCTCTGTCTGATGTCTTTCCCACTACCCATAAATAAATGGTTATGAATGATGGCTGTGATATGGCTTTTCATCACAATGGATGCATCCCAAATAGCACTGTATTCCCTATATAATGCACAACTTTTCAAAAGCCCCATAGGGCCCTGGTCAAAAGTAGTGCACTATGTAATGAATAGGGAGCCATTTAGGATGCATCCAATGTCTCCATCTACTCCTGTGATACCTTATTGGTCCCCTATGACCAGGTGTGAACGTGTTTGTCAGGAAGATAGCTGTGGCTGCAGCCTCCAGGCCTGCAGTAGAGAACACCCAGCAGGGCGAGAGCCTCTCCATTCAGACCTTCACCAGTGTACGCACCACCCATGTCTCCTTCGCCGTGGGACAGTCCTTCAATGAGACCACAGTGGATGGACGCCTCTGCACAGTAATACTCAATTTCCACACTCTTCATCTTCATCATCTTCATCTCCACATATGTTGCAGAAAATATTTTTGTTACTATACGTGCATATTTTGCCAGGACTCTGTGTATAAAATCAGAGGTCTGTATAAGCATGTGGAAATAATCAGTGTGTAACTTGATAGTTGGTCTTGGTGATGTTTTAGTATTCAAATATTCTCTATGGTTTGTAGAGGGCAGCAAACATAACGTCTAACATACTTGAGGAAGCAGTAACATGCTGCAACAGTACTGACTACCAAATGAGAAGCCTCAGGGTCACACACAGATCTACTGTGTCTTTCTATCTAACCACTTCACTGCAACATGCAGTGTCATTTATCTACTAAATCCTTGCATGGCCTTCCTCCTATGACCTCCAGAGTACCCCTCGCTGGGAGACAGATAGCAAGATCAGCTGTGAGCAGATTTTGCAGAAAGGGGAGGGCCCTAAGACTGCCTGGACCCGTGAAGTGACCAATGATGGCGAACTGGTTTTGCCTACAAACGGTAATCCTATTCCTGTATTGACATGTTTGTCTTTAACTGTGTTTGGGGACAAAGTATCTGTTTGATATATTTGAGTTTTGTATTAATTCTGTTATAATTTTCTTTCAGATAATGAGTGCTGGGGACGTCGTGTGCACCAGAGTGTATCAACGAGAATGGAAACTTTCAAGACTGTCAAACATTTCATTTTGTGCCTCTTTTTTCACATTTCTTAATATCTACCTGTTCCGTTTGCTTATTTAATCTTCCAGTCATTCAGATTGTGGTTAACAAGACTTCAGTTGTGTGTGTTTTGTCAGACAGAGTTTGACTGTTGTGAAAGCCTTGTGTCAGTTTATTTTAATGTATAATGTTCTCGTATTAGCTTGTAATGGTATCATTGTTCCTACACAACCAAAGCTGTATTTATTCTCAGTATACCGCATGAAAACCCTATCCGTATTTTTGTTCAAAATGTTTTACCAAAGCAACTGTAAACCATCCTCAAACTGTTGTTAAAAGAATTACAAATGTATAATGTATTTCCAAAACCTGATTTTATTAGCTTTCTGAAACAAACTGATTTAAACCAAGACCTTGTCCATCACCGCTGTTCTAACTTTCTCTCTCCATACCACCTCCTTTCTACTTCTCCTGTCCCCCTGCCTAAGATCTTTGTATGCATCCCTCACTTGTTTTCCATCCCTCCCTGCCACTTCCCTGCTACTTGCCCTTTTCCGCAAGTAGCCTAGCGGTTAAGTGCGTTGGGCTAGCAACCGAAAGGTTGCTGGTTCGAACCCCTGAGCCGGCAATGTGGAAAAAAGCAGCTGTTCTGCGCTTGAGCAAGGCAGTTAACCCCCAACAACAACTGCTACCCAGGTGCCCTTCTTCTTCCACACCCTTTCCTCTATGTGCCCTCACCATGTGTTAATTTAGAGTTTTTAAACTCCCAAAGATAATCCATATTTTATGAACAACACCGTGTCTGAGAGACATTTGGCAAGAAAAGGGGAAAAACTGGGAGTGGTAGGGAAAGTGTGAGAGAGTGAGGGACCATAAGAAAATAATTTCATATTGAAAACGGTACTATTCCCTCCGCTCTCCTTCCCAGCTGCACCTACTTACAGTATGAGCTCAATAAAAGGTTCCCCACCCCCTCTTCCCTGGACTAGGCCCACACCCAGTTACAAAGGGTAAAATGACTGCCTCTGATTTGTGTGAAGAAGCTTGTAGCTGCTCTCCCACTCTCCCACACACCTCTGAACTGGACAGCCAAAACAAAATACAGTCACACCTACATTAACACAAACTTGGGAGGAATGATCAGTTCTTCGAAAATAATGGATTGAAGAATGGATTGAACAGTGCAGGGTCTCTCATGCACTTCCTGAGGAGAGAGAATGCTTGCTCTATCCAAGGTCCCCTGTAGCTCTGTTTGTAGAGCATGGTGCTTGCAACGCCAGGGTTGTGGGTTCGTTTCCCATTGGGGGCCAGTATGAAAAATGTATGCACTCACTAACTGTAAGTTGCTCTGGATAAGAGTGTCTGCTAAAAATGACTGAAAAAAAGGCAGTAATGGTTTTTCCAGATTTGCAGATGGTTTGCCAAGAGTCCCAAATGGCATCCTATTGCCTATATAGGGCTCTGGTCATAAGTAGTGCACTATGTAGGGAATAGAGTGCCATTTTGAACGCAGCCAAGCCCTCCTCTGAGGTCCACCTCAGATTTACTCACTCTGTGCTGAGCCAGCATCAGGCTTCCTGGGCTTCATTTCTCCAAACGATGTGTTCTCTCAATAAACTCACTGGGTAAGTGAGTGAGTGAATGAATGAAAGTGAGCGTGGGTTATGTAACCTCAGGTGCATAGCTCCCGTTTCAAACAGCGAGTTCAGCCAAAAGTGTTTTTATGCATTCATCCAAACTTCATTAATCCATACTGTAACTGATATGTGTATACAGTACCAGTCAAAAGTTTGGACACACCTACTCATTCAAGGCTTTTTCTTTATTTTTACTATTTTTCACATTGTAGAATAATAGTGAAGACATAAAAACCTATGAAATAACACACATAAATAGCACATATGGAATCATGTAGTAACCAAAAAAGTGTTAAATAATAATAATAATAATAATAATAATAATTGTTAATATTAAACAAATCAAAATATATTTTATATTTGAGATTCTTCAAACAGCCACCCTTTGCCTTGATGACAGCTTTGCACACTCTTGGCATTCTCTCAACCAGCTTCACCTGGAATGCTTTTCCAACAGTCTTGAAGGAGTTCCCACATATGCTGAGCACTCGTTGGCTGCTTTTCCTTCACTTTGCCGTCCGACTCATCCCAAACCATCTCAATTGGGTTGAGGTCGGGGGATTGTTGAGGCCAGGTCATCTGATGCAGCACTCCATCACTCTCCTTCTTGGTAAAATAGCCCTTACACAGCCTGGAGGTGTGTTGGGTCAGTGTCCTGTTGAAAAACAAATGATAGTCCCACCAAGCCCAAACCAGATGGGATGACATATCGCTGCAGAATGCTATGGTAGCCACGCTGGTTAAGTGTGCCTTGAATTCTAAATAAATCACAGACAGTGTCACCAGCAAAGCACCCCCACACCATAACACCTCCTCCTCCATGCTTTACAATGGGAACTACACATGCAGAGATCATCCATTCACCCACACCGCGTCTCACAAAGACACGGTGGTTTGAACCCAAAATCTCCAATTTGGACTCCAGACCAAAGGACAAATTTCCACCTGTCTGATGTCCATTGCTCGTGTTTCTTGGCCCAAGCAGGTCTCTTCTTCTTATTGGTGTCCTTTAGTAGTGGTTTCTTTGCAGCAATTCGACCATGAAGGCCTGATTTACACAGTCCTCTCTGAACAGTTGATGTTGAGATGTGTCTGTTTACTTGAACTCTGTGAAGCATTTATTTGGGCTGCAATTTCTGAGGCTGGTAACTTTAATGAACTTATCCTCTGCAGCAGAGGTAACTCTGGGTCTTCCATTCCTGTGGCGGTCCTCATGAAAGCCAGTTTCATCATAGCGCTTGATGGTTTTTGCAACTACACTTGAAGAAACTTTCAAAGTTCTTGAAATGTTCCGTATTGACTGACCTTCATGTCTTAAAGTAATGATGGACTGCCGTTTCTCTTTGCTTATTTGAGCTGTTCTTGCCATAATTTGGACTTGGTCTTTTACCAAATAGGGCTATCTTCTGTATACCCTCCCTACCTTGTCACAACACAACTGATTGGCTCAAACGCATTAAGAAGGAAATAAATTAAACAAATTAACTTTTAAGAAGGCACACCTGTTAATTGAAATGCATTCCAGGTGACTACCTCATGAAGCTGGTTGAGAGAATGCCAAGAGTGTGCAAAGCTGTCATCAAGGCAAAGGGTGGCTATTTGAAGAATCTCAAATATAAAATATATTTGGATTTGTTTAACACTTTTTTGGTTACTACATGATTCCATATGTGTTATTTCATAGTTTGATGTCTTCATTGTTATTCTACAATGTAGAAAATAGTTTTTAAAAATGAAGAAAAACCCTTGAATGAGTAATTGTGTAAAAACTTATGACTGGTAGTGTATATATGCGTAGATGTGTTTTTTTTTAAACGCAGTCCTTCCGCTCTGGTCTGAAAGGAACTTAACTGTGGAAAATAGGAGGATGTTTGCTCAATAAAGCTCCACAAGGTCACAGAAAGACACACATACAGTATCTCAAGTCTAATTCGGATCGAATGTCAACTTTGATAAATGATTGTTGTGTTTATAGGGACAGTTAAAACCACAGAAAGTGCCCAGTTCACTCAATCTTTCCACGTTACTGAGGTCACTTTCAACACAGTGATTATGTCAGCTCATTCCACAGGCGATGATGTCATGGGACCGCACATTGCTTGATAGGCCATGGAATGCAGAGGTTTTAGGACCGGACGGGAGGCACCCGACTCCTAGTCTGCGTCCCAAATGGCACCCTATTCCTTCTGTCCCTGGTCAAAAGTATTGCACTATATATAGGGCAGGGTTCCCCAACTGGTGAATTTGGCCCACAGGTGATTTTATTTGGCCCCTCAAGTTTTCTGGAAAATAAAATATATAAACTTTTGTTATTTTTTATTTTTTGGGAGGGACATAAAATATTGTAAAAACACCAGCACATCAGCTCCAAGTGATCTTAATTTTGGAAATCTGTTACAAAGTATTCCAATGCATAATAGAGAGATACAGTGCATTCAGAAAGTATTCAGACCCGTTGACTTCTTTTTTTTACAGCCTTGAGTCTTCTTGGGTATGACGCTACAAGCTTGGCACACCTGTATTTGGGGAGTTTCTCCCATTCTTCTCTGCAGATCCTCTCATGCTCTGTCAAGTTGGATGGGGAGAGTCGCTGCGCAGCTATTTTCAGGTCTCTCCAGAGATGTTCGATCGGGTTCAAGTCCGGGTTCTGGCTGGGCCACTCAAGGACATTAAGAGACTTGTCCCAAAGCCACTCCTGTGTTTTCTTACATTTACATTTTACATTTTAGTAGATGCTCTTATCCAGAGCGACTTACAGTTGGTGAATACATATTTTTTTAAATACTGGCCCCCCGTGGGAATCGAACCCACAACCCTGGCGTTGCAAACGCCATGCTCTATCAACTGAGCTACATCCCTGCCGGCCATTCCCTCCCCTACCCTGGACGACGCTGGGCCAATTGTGCGCCGCCCATGAGTCTCCCGGTCGCGGCCGGCTGCGACAGAGCCTGGATTCGAACCAGGATCTAGTGGCACAGTTAGCACTGCGATGCAGTGCCTTAGACCACTGCGCCACTCAGGAGTCTGTGTGCTTAGGGTCGTTGTCCTGTTGGAAGGTGAACCTTCGCCCTAGTCTGAGGTCCTGAGCGCTCAGGAGCAGTTTTCATCAAGGATCTCTGTACTTTGCTCCGTTAATCTTTCCCTCGATCCTGACGAGTCTCCAAGTCGCTGCCTCTGAAAAACATCCCCACAGCATGATGCTTCCACTACATACTTCACCGTAGGGATGGTGTCAGGTTTCCTCCAGATGTGACGCTTGGCATTCAGGCCAAAGAGTTCAATCTTGGTTTCATCAGACCAGAGGATCTTGTTTCTCATGGTCTGGCAGTCCTTTAGGTGCCTTTTGTGAGGAGTGGCTTCCGTCTGGCCCCTCTACCATAAAGGCCTGATTGGTGGAGTGCTGCAGAGATGGTTGT